TATTAATAGAATATCTGAGTCGCGTAACTGTAAAAATTGTCTTTGAAGTCGGGCGTCGCTCCTCTGTAATCTTCAGAGGACAGTGATCAGCCTAGTGACTGACACCAATCAAACAGCTACCTTCGATTTTGCCATGACCTATTCCAGGGGTGCTGAGAGCGAATTTGAGCGTTACCCCTGGTTATCGAGGATGACAGCGTTTGGTCAAAACAGAACTTATATTTAGAGAATTCTTAATCGGCCATAAATGTACTGGTCACTCTTTAACGAAAGCTGACTTTTGAGGTTTATTTTAATAATTGAATTCATATAAATTACGTGAAAAACTCATAAACGTAAAAACTAATCAATCAATATGAACATATGACACAAAGTGGTTGTACTGGCACTGGTCAGAGAAAAACATGGACTTTTGTGTAAAAACACAGTCAGATCAGGCCAATTTAAGCAATTAATTCGTTCTACTTTATGAATCTAGTTAATCGTACTCGGACTAGCTTTTTAAAAAATGTAGGGAAGGAGGAAAAGTATCTTACCAATTAAGTGTTGAATTACTACTGTTTGGTCATGTATCTTTAACGTATGAACCTTTATAGCTACTCATTTTTTTTTATCAAATCAACAAGAAGATTTTTAAAAGCAATTATAATTTAACTACATTAAAACCTCACTACCCACCTAACTGGGTAAACATTAATCACTTACTTCATGTATCCCTAATATCATGTTCTATCTCTCTTTCTAAACAGTGTCCTAAGTACATATGCAGGCTATCACTGCAAAGTTATACATGTATTATCAGCAAAGCTTGTTACGAACGATGAGAAGGACTATGTAAAAGTAAAAAAGTATTTGTTTCCCATCATCAGAATGAAATGTTTTGTGTAAGTGTACATGTCAATTGACAGGAATTTACTATGGTTTAAACTAAAGTCTCTTTATGTTTTAAATCCCTGCATTTTGGATGTATGTTGAAAATATCCAAGATTGTATAATTGCATTGATGATTTGTTAAACTAACAATGCTTTGTATATTTCTGTCTTGGTCACAGCTAAATAGTCAAATGATCGAATACACACTTAGAGTTAGCCGAGTGACAATGTAAATACGGGTCGTCACATGTGTAAAGTAGGAAGCTAATAATCGGTTGTATATTTACAATAGTGTGTAAATGAATAACATAATAAAATATTGAATGTTTTTCTTCATGTTTTTTTTATTTCCTTCATGTAATCATGTTTTGGTCAGTAATATACACGTTTTACTGCAGATTAAATTTAAATCGACTTAACGAATTGCATTTCAGAATTTTCTTTGTCCCGGAATTGCAGTTATTTTCGGATTGATTAAAATGTAATATTTTATTAAAAGGAAAACAAGTCTGCTTAAATGAAAGTAACGTTATTAGCAGACAAATGAAGTTGGTAAATTATTATTCTGAATAGAGAAAAAAAAAATGTGGGCGAGTTTTATTTACATTGTATTCGCGTTGTGATGTCAATTTCTGATGTTAGATTCTCAATAAATATACGCGGGTTATGATATGACATTTAAAATTACTGGCTGTTTATGTGAAAAAGTCTGTCTGTTACATACATAATTTCACTAATTTAATAATTATATATAATACAAGTGAGTTTATTAAACTTATAAATCTTGTGAGGATGCATTGAAAATATTCCAACATATAGTGCCAGTTTATTTCCCTCAAGATTTGTATTTACGATTAACTGAATAACACAAATTTAGACTTGTTTTAGACTTCGTCCTTCCATTTGAGTGGTTATATATGTGTGGATAATATAAGGTAATGTGTTTGCTTATGCAGTCGTTTATTATCAAAGGACGAACTCCTTTCACTAGGTACACTATCTTGTCTATGTGCGAGATTAATAATTAAACAATGTGATGATTAAGTACGCATAATGTATGACACAATCAACTTCAGGTAAAACCAGGGTTTCGATTTTCATTAACAATTTAGAGCGATATCTTTATTATCGGGTATTATTTATTTAAACATGCTTGTATACTCTTCGTTTCGAACGAACGTGATTCTTATGTAGAGGAAATATTTGTTATTTACCTTCAATTGCAAATTGAGAAATAAAACAAGAGGCCCAATGGGCCTGCATCGCTCACCTGGTATAAATCTCACACTTGTAAACTCAAACCTGATCTAAAATAAAGCTACAGGCAAAATAAAATATCAGTATGTATGATTAAATTTAATTCAAAAGAACCTGTTTTTTTTTTTTTTAAACATTTCACCACTGTGATTGAAAGTCGAACAAAGTCATAATCTTATAGCCTTTCATCTCAGGATGCAACTTGCAAAGTAACATCCTGGGACCAATGGTCAAATTTGTTCATTGCTGCAAGCGACTCACGTCAGAGCCCAGTTGTTCAAAAGGTGGTTAGTTTAATCACTGTTTAACGACATTCTCAACCTTTGATAATTTCGTTCATATTCAAGGTAAAATCTCACAATTTTGCAAGTGAATTCATTCTACCAAATATATGATATCTGGAAAATTGTATCTTATTCAATAGTTTTGTTTTAAAGTTACACACAAATTAAACTTTGCGCTATTCACTGAATAAGCTAATCATAACCTTTTGAACAACTAGGTCCAGGGATCTGAACACAGCAATTATATATCGAGGGAATATTGCTCATTTCATATGAAAAGTAAATGGATCAAAAGGAAAGCTTCACCGAGTATACGCTAGTTTATCCGTGGGCAGAGCTTACCAAGCCGTAGAGAGCAGATACGTTAATACATCAATGGAACTCAACACAAATTGCTGCTTGATATGTGTTTATTGTTTTTTGTTTTTGTTTTATAAAACAACATTCGATATTTACTAAAACAAACATAGGTCATTCTATATTATTTGTTTGATTATGTTTCAAATGATGATTTTCAGATAAAAATCTGAATAAATATTTATGTATATATAAATATGATTTCGATCGCGATGAACATTGTTTGAAAATTGAAAAAAACAAACGTTTGACCACAGAAACATTTAGATATCCATCTGACTTTCAAGCTAGAAACCTACACTGTAATTCAACATTCTAGTCACTGTAGCTCTTTAGAAGAAGTTATTTAAAGATTACAGATTTTCGACTTAAGCTACTTCATACAAGATAACTTGTTAAACAATCAACAGTTATAAATTATAATGTAATAATGCATTTATATGTTATATTATGTTTCTAAAATGCCGGAAACACGACTAGGTAGAGCAAAAACAAAATATACCAAAAAATACACAATGTTCATCAATAAACGATGATCTGAATAAGAAAATGTATCCATATGAGCTTCAAGCTAGCAAGCTACACTGTAATTCTACACTCTAGTCACTGTAGATCTTTAGAAGAAGTTGTTTGAAGATTATAACAAGGTTCAACAAGCCCCCTAATAGATGCTGTAGTAACACTAAATTTCAACCCCTTGCTAAGTCATATTCAAGGACCCTTATTAAAAATCGGAACTTATATATGTTATTTGAATATATTGAACTTGTACATTGGCTATAAAAAACATAGCTAGGTTAAATAGTCGAAAGATGGCATTAAGGCTGGCGTCTTCATAAAAACAGTTCACCGGGTTATAGCATGTCAATCTCTTTTGCGACTGAGTGCTAAGAAATGACGTATAATTTAAAGTTTATTTATATACCTAGGCCATGCGGAGCTTAAACTCTCTTTTATAAGCTGTTGAGAGGAAATGAACTTTAAATGACGTGCCATTTGATAACATTCTGTCTTGTTATGAATGAGCTAGATATGTAATCAACATTTAAACTGAAAAGCACAGGTTGAAATTGAGACGACAATTCATCTTCTAGGGGGCTTGTTGAACCTTAAGCTGCAATATCTGAGATACTTCATACAAGGGAACATGTAAAACAATCAACACTTGTAAATTAAAAGTTTATAATGCATGTATATGTTATATTAGGTTTTTATAATGCTGGAAACATGACTAGGTTAATCAAAAACAATAATTGATGGGCAAAGTTCATCAATAAACAATGATAACAATCTGAATAAGAAATTTAACAAAACAAAGAAAATATCTTGCAAGCACGTATGTAGGTCGGTATTTTGGCAGTTGTGATTGTTTTAAATTATATCTTAAATGACAGGTGTACTGGTACAGGTATACCGGTATATGTACTGGTACAGGTATACTGGTACAGGTATACCGGTACATGTACTGGTACAGGTATACTGGTACAGGTGTACTGGTACAGGTAAACCGGTACATGTACTGGTACAGGTGTACTGGTACAGGTATACTGGTACATGTGTACTGGTACAGGTATACTGGTACAGGTGTACTGGTACAGGTATACCGGTACATGTACTGGTACAGGTGTACTGGTACAGGTATACTGGTACATGTGTACTGGTACATGTGTACTGGTACAGGTATACCGGTATATGTACTGGTACAGGTGAACTGGTACAGATGTACTGGTACAGGTGTACTGGTACAGGTGTACTGGTATATGTGTACTGGTACAGGTATACCGGTATATGTACTGGTACAGGTGAACTGGTACAGATGTACTGGTACAGGTGTACTGGTACAGGTGTACTGGTATATGTGTACTGGTACAGGTATACCGGTATATGTACTGGTACAGGTGAACTGGTACAGATGTACTGGTACAGGTGTACTGGTACAGGTGTACTGGTACATGTGTACTGGTACAGGTATACCGGTATATGTACTGGTACAGGTATGCCGGTATACGTACTGGTACAGGTATAGCGGTACATGTACTGGTACAGGTGAACTCGTACAGATGTACTGGTACAGGTGAACTGGTACAGATGTGCTGGTACAGGTGAACTGGTACAGATGTGCTGGTACAGGTGAACTGGTACAGGTATACCCGTCTATGTACTGGTACAGGTATGCCGGTATATGTACTGGTGCAGGTGTACTGGTACAGGTGTACCAGTATATGTACTGGTACAGGTATACCGGTATATGTACTGGTACAGGTGATACAAATATGTCGATACATAAATTGTGACAAATTCAATTGTGGATACTACTTATCGTCAATATTTCTACCTTTACTGTACACTGGAATATATATTCGGCAGTTAACATCCAGGACAATATCTCTCGAAAGTTAAATTGTTACATATTTCTAGATCTCAAAGTTTAAACCTGTATAAAAATAGTCATCTTGAGTAAACAAAAAGGGACATTGAGAGCAGCAAAAATGCCGGATATAATTATGGTACTTCTTACCTATATCAATAACATAAACAAAGCTTTGATAGAACCAGCGAGTTGCATTCTTTCTATAATTCATTCATTCAAATCTGTAACAAATCAAACAAATTAAACCTATTTATCATTATAAAAGCATCCGAGTCTTAAGTGGGAAGAGCTCTTTTAGAAAAGAAAAGACCAGTTACATGTTCATGTGGCATTCTGGTAGCATAAAGAAACTTTAGAGTTAAGATGATGCTTCTTCAAATAATTTAGCAACCTTGACAGCGGTTTTGTATAAAGAGACTGCTGTCATGTTGACAATCATAGCAACAACAACACCTTGGGGCTCCCCATGGGAGTCACTGTCTATATCACACTTTTTTGGTTTTATGACTAAGACACTGCTCCCTCCCACCGCCCCACCTGTGTGTGAAACAATATGATCACTTTGATGACAACACCGGAAGTTTTCACCCTCTGGTACTACATCCCATCCCATCCCATAATATCCAAATTTATCAAAAGCAGAGCTTTTGGTATTAACAACAGGTTCCCAAAGCAACTGTACAGATTCTCCTTTGAGAAATCCAGTCGCTTTGCTCTTCTTGTCTTCCTGATTAGAAGTGTTAATAGCCTTGGATTTCTGACTTTTGCTGTTTGAGTTCGCCTTTGAACTTTGACCTCTGTTTTGATTATTTTTGGTATCTGACCCTTGCTGATAACTGTACAGCATCACGTGACCAAATTTAATGAGATCACGTGTGGTAGAGAGGAAACCACCCCCGGCCCACTTGTACGAGAGGTCCACATAGGGGGTATTGATGAGGCGTCCTCTCTTGTTCTTCATGTAATGTCTGAAACAGCAAATAAGTAGTCATCTATACAAGATTGAATAGTACAAAGCAGTAAGTAGACGACGCATAGTTTATATACATTATATAAACCTATTCCGTCTTTGCGTATTGAAGAGTTATCTTCTCTTGGGAGCAGGTATTGATTGTTACGTCACTTGTTTGTGAGACTAACGTCATCAACTTTTGAGAAAACGACGTAATTTTCTCGCACAAACCAATGACGTGACAATCAATAACTGCTCACAAGAGAAGATAACTCTGCAATACGCAAAGACTGAATACCTTATACATTGTACCTACCTTCCTCTGTTGTAGATGATAGGAGTGTTCTCGTCAAGGAAGGTATCATCCATACCCATCTCAATAATATATTTCTGCATCATTTTCTCAAATGGTGTTTTAGCCACAGCCTCCAATACAGCACTCAACAAGGTGAAGCCGTATGTTGTATACAGATATTTGGAGCCTAAAGCAAAACATACAGGAAATCAAGGCCCTTCAATGTCATCGAAAGTGCAAGGATTGACTGTCACTTTTTACTTCCAATAGGATTCATCAGTTTGGATATATGTAATATCAAAGTTTTACTTTATACACTGAAACCTATTCGATACAGTGTATACTATATACTCTATGTCGATAGACGAAACATACAATTTCGTCACATTGTTGTACAGGTAAACAATACAAATCGCTCACTGGTCATAGCTTGAAAACGGACCGGTCGGTCTTGAAACGTTGACACACGTTTAATACGTACACTTTTTGTGTATAAAGTAAAATTTGTTATTTTAACTTTACACTGTAAAATTGGAAATTGGCCATGTAGAAACGTTCATGTTGAATCTCATTAGACTGGTTGCAGTGTGAACATGTTCACCCTGGCAATTGTTCTGAAATATTTATATATATTCTATTTATAACCTATATGTTATCTTCATTGTATAAATTAATATTCTGGTTTGGATATTTCCATGCTTTTTTTTTTACTCACACCACCAAAATTTCCACTTTTGCCAATGCACAGCACACTGTATCAGAAATCCTATAACCTTCTTTATGTTTTATATTTATATTTCCCATCGTAAGTCTCTTCCACATTTTTCATATTTATCACTCTTTCTCCATCTTTCCCTCCTCGTCCTCTTTATGCACTTCTTCTATCCCTCCTTTATTTTTGTTAATGATAAAATTCGTATTTTCTTTGTCATACATGTCAACCTCAGAGGAATTTGTCCCTCTGGGCTAACTCATAGAGAAGAACAAATGCAAGCGAATGTTTTTGCTGCATTTCTTAAGTTCCATGATTGGTGAATTCAATTAGATTACTAATTTATATCATTTTCAAAAAGTTCATATCGTGACCAGTGACATGTATTAGCTAAAGTATCATGTAAACACAACCAATGACCACTGACCAGGGCCTCTAGGGGTAGTTTAACGTAATAAGAGTTATAAGGCTTGATGGATTTTCACACCTTTTGTGAAGTCTTATGTAAGGATATTTGAAATTTCATTTGCAATTCATGATATACAAAGTTGGTATTGTTCTCTGAGATATTATTGCATTAAAACAGAAATATATTTGGTCGAAATTTTACGACAAGAGGACCAAACTTGGTCATTTATGCTTCAGATGGACCAGATGGTAAACATTCGGGTTCAGAGAGACAGTCCCTTGAAAAAGGTAACAGGTGACATGTACGTCTTAATACTATGTATCACAAGTCGTTACTGAACTTTTATGTCTCATATATACCTGGTTCGTGTACTAAAGGGTCATCCTTGAACAAGTTCAGACTTTCGGTGACACTTTTGTAGTTGGTAGATATAAGGTACTCGGCCAATGATAATTCAGATGTCTCTTCAGCAGCAGTTTTCTGGCCAGGTTTGCTTGTCTTTGTAGTCTGGATTCAACCCATTAATTAATACTCATTGATTCATAACTACTTAATTAAGCTACAAATCCATAAAGGATCATGGTGGTGCCCATCATTGTAGAATCGTCATCACATTGGTCCTACGTAACTATTTTCTCGTATATACTCTTACCCGTTAGATTGAGTCATTTCAAGTCAGTGGATCGTGTGATAAGTTAACTTGAGCAATACTTCATATTGATTTACTTAACATTTTCCTTTAAAATTGAGGACATTTTTACCGACATACGGTAAACACACATATTAATTAATTAAAGTTTACTGCGTTATGTAGTATAACAGTTAAAAATGGTATGTGTTTCATTTCCTTATTCCGTCTTTGCGTATTGCAGAGTTATCTTCTCTTGGGAGCAGGTATTGATTGTTACATCACTTGTTTGTGAGAGTAACGTCATTAAATTTTGAGAAAACGACGTAATTTTCTCACACAAACCAATGACGTAACAATCAATACCTGCTCCCAAGAGAAGATAACTCTGCAATACGCAAAGACGGAATAGGGTTCAAATAGATGCGAAAGGCGGAGAGTACATGAATATTCATAATGGTTCGTATGGGTGAAAGGTAGTATGAACAATACACAGATAGGTCAGTGAAAGGTAAGGTGCACGAGATTGATGAAGGGCAGGGTCGACGTACACCTGGTAACCAGTTTGAATCACGGAATTAGATTAGATTTATATATATAAGTCCATGGTTTGCATTGAGTGGTGGATCATTCTAGCCCGAGACAGACAGCGTAGGCTACGGTGTAAAACATTTTAATGTTGTTTTCTTTTCTTTTCTGCCACGCATACAAAATTGGAATATCAAAATCAGGAGAGTGTTATATATTTAAATCAGAAGTAAGGTAATTCTTTATTTTTAAACTCGTCGGGACATCATAAGGTTTTCCAGAGTTTTTGTGGCTTACTATGATTTATCTCTGGTGTGTTAGGGGAGTGGTGCTGAACAGCGGCTATACTATTCAAGTACTATACACGGAAAATAATGTTTTGTTATCAATGTATTTAAAACTAATGAAGATATACGGTTATTAACTGAATTTGTTATATTGACCAATCGGAATGGTATTTTCCATTCACTGCATTCAAAGCCGCAGATGTTCTGTTCAGCTGTTGATGAAGCAACAGTACAATATTCAATAAGTAGTCATTTGTACATTTTCATTACAGAAATTAAGTTAAAAACATAACTACAAAATTGACAACAATTTGGTAAGCAAATTCTACCAGATAATACGTGGTAGAATTGCGCTGAATATGACGATATGGCGTTAGTCTGTTGTTAAGCATGTCATTGTTAAAATTGTGCACTAAAGATAACGCTACTAGATCTAGCACTTTGTTGAGGAAGTTTTACACATTCACCCTGAAGTTGCATTTGAACTCTTCCAATTCAAAGTTTGGAATTGTTCATTATGAAATGCCAGGTTTGAATGAGTTAAAAATGTTAGAAATAGAAAAAATTAATGGTTTTCCAAACGAACACTAAATATGTTTCATTCAAATGACATAATTTACTATGATTTCATTCGTGCTTCGCCCTGGTAACAAATATCAACATTTTGTCCTACCTGTGAAAGATATATGGCAGTCAACAGGAAACATATATATATATCTTCTATTCCACTTATGGAAACGGACGTGGGATCGAGGGAGGGATGTCAGACAAAGTCTGCACGCAGAGCCATCACAAAAACTCATAAGAAATTTTGGACAAGTGAAAAAAATGTGTCTACATTTTGGCTTAGATATACATACACACAAAGGATTCTACAAATGATAGCCGAAATTACCTGTGTGTTCGCCTCCACTTTGGGTATACTGGCTTTTGTGTGGTAGTGACGGATCCCTCCAAGGTGAGACACCAGATGTCTGGTTGTTATGGTTACCTGTCAAAATAGATATTGTGTTTCTTTAAGTCAAAATAAGTTTTAGCACTGTTGAGATTATGGCCAAACCTTACAAATTTAAGTAGGAAACGACACAGGGATAAATGTGCTTAAAAACGAACCAATTTTATATTGTTTGAAACACAAAGGAATATGAACCTAAAATCACTTTCATTTTGAGATTATCTATAGAAATGAAAAAGAGCTAATAATAACCGAATTTGCCAGGGTCTGTTCTCAGTGTGTGTTTGTTAAAATAGGAAAATACTTGGTTTTGAAACCAAGGCTAGGAGACTTGCTTAACCGTTTCACCCCTATGTAACTTTAGTAGACTCTACCATGCATTGATCTGGATGAGTCCATTATGGTCTACAGTGGTGAAAGGGTTAAGCCCTGTTAGCTCCTCGAGTTGTGTCACTTACATTGTACAGAAAAAAATCCCAGAAAAACTTACTTAGGCACAGAATACTCCCCTAGATGCAAATTGTATGCCACTTATACGTTTATGGGAAAGGGGAAAATACATGGGCTTGAAAAAAACCAAGTCTTTGTACCAGTAGAATTAGTAGAAGCGTCAGTAATAAGTAGTCAAAGACTAATGGTATATGACGTCGACAACGGTGAGTTAACGGTGAGATTTGCTTTAACCCGGAAAATCTTACTAAGGCACAGAATACTCCCCTAGATATGCCACTTATACGTTTATGGGAATGGGAAAAATACATGGTTTGGAAAAATATAAACAAACCAAGGCATAGAGATTTGCTGAAGCCCAGGAACTCCTCTAGATCTGCCATGTACATGTTATTGGTTTAGTAAATGCATTTAGTAAGCTTTACTGATACTAAGTAGATTCCTGATAAACGACCAGCTGACAACCAAGTATTAATCACCTAAAGAATTATAAACTTTGGTGCTGAATTACCAGAGCTAGAATTCAGGAAGTCACTTCACCTCTGAAATGAGACAATTTGTTACTTTGGCTGCATCACATTAACATGGTTTATACATGGTTATATGACATAAAACATGGAATGAAACATATTTAAATTGGTTTGGTTTGGTTTGGTTTGGTTTGGTTTGGTTTGGTTTAGTATTGATTAACGTCCTATCAATAGCTATGGTCATTTAAGGACGGCCTCCCCTGTGTACAAGATGCATGCGTGTAGTGTATGCGTGTAGTGTATGCATGTGTGTTTTGGGAGGATGCGATATGTTCGTGTTTGTCTCCTTGTGATAGCGCGGAACTGATGCTGACTTTATAGTGCTACCTCACTTACTGAAACATACTGCCGAAGACACCAACCCGGTCACATTATGCTGACAACAGGCGAACCAGTCATCCCACTCCTAAATTACTGAGCGTTAAGCAGGAGTAGAAACTACCATTTTTACAGACTCTGGTATATGCCTCGGCCAGGGGACAGAACCCAAAGCCTTCCTCACAGGGGCGAACGCTCAATTAAACAAGGGAGACATTAGGAAGAAGAAAGTTGTTTAGAAAGAAGAGAAAAGATAAGGTCCCAAATTTCGTCTCCTCTTACGATCATGCAATTGGAGCAGCAGGTACAATTCTTACGCCCTACCTGCAGGGACACATATGTAAATACTCGAAGTGTCAATGGTTATCAGACAGAAAAGTGTCGATGGTTTTATAAGGAAAACTGTTCAAGGTTACTATCACAGAAAACAGTGTAACATCACAAAAACATTGTTATCAAATAAAAAGTGTTAAAGATTACGAAACAGATGACTATATTACAAAAAAATGTTATCACATAAAATGTTAAGGGTTACACCACAGGAAAATGTTATCACAGAACTTTATCAATGGTGACATCAAAGAACATTATCAATGGTGACATCAAAGAACATAATCAATGGTGACATCACAGAACATTATCAATGGTGACATCACAGAACATTATCAATGGTGACATCACAGAACATTACCAATGGTGACATCACAGAACATAATCAATGGTGACATCAGAGAACATTACCAATGGTGATATCACAGAACATTATCAATGGTGACATCACAGAAAATTATCAATGGTGACATCACAGAACATTACCAATGGTGACATCACAGAACATTATCAATGGTGACATCACAAAACATTATCAATGGTAACATCACAGAACATCACCAATGGTGACATCACAGAACATTATCAATGGTGACATCACAAAACATTATCAATGGTAACATCACAGAACATCACCAATGGTGACATCACAGAACATTATCAATGGGCACATCACAGAACATTACCAATGGTGACATCACAGAACATAATCAATGGTGACATCACAAAACATAATCAATGGTGACATCACAGAACATTATCAATGGTGATATCACAGAACATTATCAATGGTGACATCACAGAAAATTATCAATGGTGACATCACAGAACATAATCAATGGTGACATCACAGAACATCACCAATGGTAACATCACAGAACTTTATCAATGGTGACATCACAGAACATTATCAATGGTGACATCACAGAACATTATCAATGGTAACATCAAAGAACATTATCAATGGTGACATCACAGAACATTACCAATGGTGACATCACAGAACATCACCAATGGTAACATCAAAGAACATTATCAATGGTGATATCACAGAACATTACCAATGGTGACATCACAGAACATTATCAATGGTGATATCACAGAACATTATCAATGGTGACATCACAGAACATTACCAATGGTGACATCAAAGAACATTATTAATGGTGATATCACAGAACATTACCAATGGTGACATCACAGAACATTACCAATGGTGACATAACAGAACATAATCAATGGTGACATCAAAGAACATTATCAATGGTGACATAACAGAACATAATCAATGGTGACATCAAAGAACATAACCAATGGTGACATCGCAGAACATTACCAATGGTGACATCAAGGAACATAACCAATGGTGACATCACAGAACATTACCAATGGTGACATCAAGAATATCACAGAACATTATCAATAAAGAACATAACCAATGGTGACATCACAGAACATAATCAATGGTGACGTCAGAGAACATTACCAATGGTGACATCACAGAACATCACCAATGGTGACATCACAGAACATAATCAATGGTGACATCAGAGAACATTACCAATGGTGACATCACAGAACATTATCAATGGTGACATCAAAGAACATTACCAATGGTGACATAACAGTATCAATGGTGACATAACAGAACATTACCAATGGTGACATCACAGAACATCACCAATGGTGACATCACAGAACATTATCAATGATGACATCACAGAACATTATCAATGGTGACATCAAAGAACATTATCAATGGTGACATCAAGAAACATTATCAATGGTGACATCAAAGAACATTACCAATGGTGACATCAAAGAACATTATCAATGGTGACATAACAGAACATAACCAATGGTGACATCACAGAACATTAGCAATGATGACATCACAGAACATTATCAATGGTGTCATCAAAGAACATTATCAATGGTGACATCAAGAAACATTATCAATGGTGACATCAAAGAACATTACCAATGGTGACATCAAGAAACATTATCAATGGTGACATCAAAGAACATTACCAATGGTGACATAACAGAACATAATCAATGGTGACATCAAAGAACATTACCAATGGGGACATCACAGAACATCACCAATGGTAACATCACAGAACGTTATCAATGGTGACATCACAGAACATAATCAATGGTGACATCAAAGAACATTACCAATGGTGACATAACAGTATCAATGGTGACCTAACAGAACATTACCAATGGTGACAACACAGAACATCACCAATGGTGACATCACAGAACATAATCAATGGTGACATCAAAGAACATAACCAATGGTGACATCGCAGAACATTACCAATGGTGACATCAAGGAACATAACCAATGGTGACATCACAGAACATCACCAATGGTAACATCACAGAACGTTATCAATGGTGACATCACAGAACATTGCCAATGGTGACATCACAGAACTTTACCAATGGGGACATCACAGAACTTTACCAATGGTGACATCACAGATCTTTATCAATGGTGACATCACAGAACTTTATCAATGGTGACATCACAGAAAATCACCAATGGTAACATCACAAGATTTGAATTTCTTGATGTGTCAAACTTGCGACAAAGTCTGGATTTTTAAAAAAAAAATGTATATCGCTACTGATATTCTATTTATGAATCAAACTTTTAAAAGTCAAATTACATGCTGTTCCGAACTACAATCAAGACCCAATCGTTAGAACATGTTGAAAATTACAACTAATAAATGGAAGTAAAACAAATGCCTGCACAAGAACATTTAAACGTTTTCATCTGAAAAAAAATACAGTGTACAAATACATCAAGCGTATTTTTCTAATTACATTAAATCCAATAGTTATAGATTCACATCACATCACATCACATTATCAATGGTTCCATCATTAAACATTATCAATGGTGACATCAAAGAACATTATCAATGATGACATCAAAGAACATCACCAATGATGACATCACAGAACATCACCAATGGTGACATCAAAGAACATTCAATGATGACCAGTATTAATATCCATGGTGACATCACAGATTATGACCAGTGGTGAGAGAGTACCACCCCCCAAAGAAAACTGGTTATTTCTTGAATATTCAGTACCAGCAGCCTAAATACCTTTCAATCTTATAAGCATACCGAGCAATCTCTCTTGGTAAAGAAGCAGTGTAGGAAGTTTGAGTTTGATCAGCCCATAATGGTTCCAGATATTGTGTACAAGAATCAACAAGAATGTTAGGTAAAGAGGGAATCCATGTAGTCTGTGTGCTGACCAGCCAACCTGGACTAAAGTTATTGGGAAAAAACAACTTTTCTATTTATAGTAACATTAACCTTTAAACTTCGGACCTTAAAAGCAACCCTAAGCATGCATCATTGGTAAGAAAGCCATGTATGAAATATGAGTTTGATTAGCACATAAGAACTCACACTATTGTGAGACTCAGGGTTACACACGGTTTAGTTTTGCTTGGTAGTCCACAGGACTAGTTGGATACATTATTTGCTAGTCCTATATCAATGTAACTAGTCCAGGATTTCTTTAAGCAAACACCTCATAGTACTAAACATAAAAAAATGTTACTGTAAATAGAAAATTAGTCTCCACCCAATAACTTGAATGCCATGGGCTGGGATGGGCAAACTAAACTTCATACACTGCTTCCTTACCAGTGCTTGGTACTTTATGGCAGTAGTTATTTTATGTCAGTTATGTGACTTTGACCTTGACCTTTGATCTTTGGATATCAAAACCAGTGAGGAAACTGAACTGATTTGTTGTGATGGAACAGATATTTAGAAGTAGGAATGACATAATTATATAGTCAATAGTAATCACCTTCTTGCCGTTAACTGTTTTCTCTGGAAAATTCGGTACGTAGTGTTGGACGGGTTTGTCAAGATCTAGTGTGCCAGCCTCAAGCTGCTTAGCAACGGCTACCATAGTGATGGATTTACTGATACTGGCGATTCTGAGGACAGAGTCAGCAGAGCAAGGAACACGGTTCTCCACGTCAGCATAGCCAAGACCTGAAACGAAGACCACAGATCTGTAGCAAGGCATAAAGCCAACAATTCGTATCAGACATTTAATACAGCTCTTTAACACATTTACCCCGGAAGACACGTTTGAACTCTTCCAAATCAAAGGTTGTAATAGTTCATCATGAAATTTCAGGGGTGAATGAGTTAATAACACAACCAGAACTATGTAACACCAGACTTTAACATTTAGACAATTAACCTCTGTATCCTATGTAACACCAGACTTTAACATTTAGACAATTAACCTCTGTATCCTATGTAATCGTTAGAACACGTGGAAAATTACAACTAATAAATCGAAGTGTAAGGTTAACACCTAAACATGCAATTACAGCTAGTGCACAAATATATCAAACCTTTTTTTCTAATTACATTAATCTTATATATATAAATTCCGTCTATTGTAGAGTTTAAAGATGTTCCAAGTTTAATACAAAATGTACTCATTAGTCAAAGTCTTGATGCTTCAATTTTTCTCGATGGTCCTTCAAAGTTCGCAACATCGAAGTTTGACTTTTTATATTCACAGACTGCAGACTACAAACAGGTATCCATGCTTGTCGCCTCTAACATTATTACCTAGACTGGCCCAAATATCTCTAGAATATTGAATTAATTAGAAAAAAAATAACTCTAATAATTTTGATCACTTGGATGTCTGATCCTAAGTTTTCAACCAAGGGGGAGATAAGCCAGTAGTAAAATGTAGTCGGTTGATTCTTCATTATCTTTTGTACTACCTTATTGGACATTTGTTCCAAAAATATAAAAAAGTGATTTTTTTTAAGTGCAACAAGAGATTGAAAAATGCACGTTCAGATTTGGGTTTGAACCCAGGACCCTCTGCAACCTGGTCACTGACAATCGATCCAGTCCTATTCTGCTACATTCCTCCGTCCTTTTTCCAAATCTTCAACTTGCCACCCACCCCCACCCCGAAGACACAACTATTTACAACCCTGAGGTTCGGGTTTCCCCTTGCCAACTGTATACCCTATGCTTGAAACAATGGTTGGTCAGTGGCCCGACTGTAACAGGACAGAATATTATAATGTACCAGGGAATGCTTACCCACATAAACAATTTTGCTGTTATAATTTGTTGTGTATTGTGTTACCTTCACTCCAGACCTCTTGTCCATCTACACTGACAGAGATTGCCAGACCAGGACTTCCTGATTCATCCTAAAAAATCAAAGTAAATCATAACAAAAATAATCGCTTTCCTAATTATCTTACACTTAATTTTACATAGACAAAATTTCTTCAAGTCAATTCAAATCAAGTTCAATTCATTGCCAGCTTATTCTGACATTAAAATGAAATATAAAACATAAGTCAATTTCAGATGAAAAATTTACCTGACAATAACCCGAAATTGACCAGAAAAAATAACTTCCTGTGAATTTGACCTGACTTGTACGTAGTTCAGCTTGCATTGAGTTCTATATCAGATCGGGGTTTTTTCAGGTCATTTTCACCTGAGGAAATTCTGCCTTTTTTAACATAAAGATAACATCATTTTTATAAAAACAGATATGACTGCCTCCGAGCTGTCCCACTGTTCTATATTTTACTAATTTACATGCACTGTGAGCAACATCCAAATCTTCCACTTAACCAACTCCCTACTACAGAGCTGAACCAAAGGTAAACTTATCTCTCTAGTGCAAAGCTTAAGGCCATATCTGATTACAGTCTTTCTGTATCCTAGCTATGACACAAGTTGTTCATAGTATAAAGTATGTTACGTGATAAACAAAGCCATGTAATAGGTGAGTTAATCAAACTGACCCAGAAGGTCTCATAACTAATTTTATGCCTGTCAGTCAGTTACATGTACATATTTTTACATAAGTCATATTGAGATTATAACACTTTTCTCATTATTTACGACTCTATATCAGTCAACAAAGCTAATCACGATCAACAATATAATTTAGCTTAATTCAATTTAATTGCTGGAGGAGGTTTATACAGTACATTAGAAAATGAAGTGAGTGATGTGTATTGTTCAACTGTACAACAATGTGACTGAGTGAAATTGTAGATTACATATACATATATGTTACTAGTCATTTATGGGACATTTTGCATATTGATAGAGAGTCTTTACACGCACATGCACATGCCAAATAAGCCACTGTCAGGGTGAAGATCTAGCCCCCCTCTCCTCTCCCGTTTAGGTCAGTAATAGCTAGGTCAAACAGATGATTCAGTCAGTGTTCCCCCTGTGAGTCTGTTCTTAATATACTTGTACTTTATTAGAATGCAGCTATGATTATATATTGTGTTGTTGATTCTCGCCTTTACAGGCCAAAAAGACGAAACACTGTAAAAGAGGGACACAGGTTTGATGGTGACCCGGCCACTTATCAAAAGTATATATACCTTGATCCTTCTGGCCAAATCTCTAGATCTGTCAATAGCCTCATTGAGATTTATGGACCTCCTTCCTTCTCCTGTAAGTGTTGCCTGTGGACTAGGTTGCTCCTCATAGTCACAACTGTACGCTTCCGTTTTCAACTTATAAACCCCCAAACCTAAACAAACTAAGCTACCTAGCACTAGGCCAAAAGCACACTTCAAGCTCGGCAACTCGACGTTAGTATTTCGTACATCTTTGTTGTGATGATAACATCTTCCTGATACGCGAGCAGAACTATTTATGGTAAACCTTTCAAGATTTTGTCTACATGTACATATTGAATTCAAAGTTGGACTTTGACCTGTGTGTTGTATTTGGAAAATGAAAGTAGAACAGTTCCGTTTTCCTCCATTAATTCCCGTTAACGTATTGATGCATCTGTCCTTAGTAAATCTCGTTTTACTTGGTGTCACCAGTTTTTGCCTTGAAAACACCGTTAAGTGTCTCTTTATGTGAACAATTCTACGAGGAAATCCAGCAGGAAACATCTCTTTGTTTACGCAAGGGCGATAACTCTGAAATCAAGTAGTTAGGTCTGCGGTATAGATACTACAAATTGGAAATGCCGCAGAGTATGCCTATTATGTTATTTTTCTAATTTTATAATGAAACTATATCAATACGTTCTTTTTAAGAGGAATGGGACCCGTTGGAAATAAAATTCCTTCCTAAAAAGTCATATAATGTAATCAAGTTCAAGCGTTTATTCTACGTTGATTTCTCAAGATGACGGATGTTATTGATGTAAACATCAACCATTTACCAGAAAATATTCTGCTAGAAATCTTGTCCTATCTCTCTGTCAAGGATTTGTGTCGGACTGGAAGGTAAATTGATAACCCATTGCACAATTTACATAGACAGCAATTCAAACAGTAAAAGACTGTGTTATATCCTTAAATATGTAGGATACCGGTTTGAAGTGAAATCCTAGATCATTCTCCAAGCATGCACCTTCTGTGTTATGAGCTTGCGACCGTAGGCCTAAAAAGTACACAAGTCACACTATTGATCATTATGTCCGAAAATTGTTCCCAATGGAACGATCCCCATGACACCCCTCACACTTCACAAAAACAGTATGTGGAGTGGTCAAAATCGGAACACCTCGGATGTTTTCATTAACATTTCAACGGATAAAGGACATAAATTGCCTATCATTCACCTCACCCAGTTTATATGTTATTATCTAGACCTGACACCAAAAAAAAACTGGGGATGTTTATTATTTCTGTATTAACATATATATATTGTTTGCATTTTTTTCGATATTAAACAGTGTATCTGCCTAAATTGGTATCCAGTACCTCAGATTTCAATATTTTCTCCATAAAAAAAATACGGAAAAATACGGATGGGAGTATTTGGACACTAATTTCCGCATTTATTCCGTATTTTGAAAAAAAAATGGAAAAATGCGGAGAATATATGGAAAAAGAATGAACAAAATACGGAGAAACGAAATACGAAGAAATACAGAAAAAATATGGAAAATGAATGCTGACACTAGATAATGCAGATAAAGAAGGAATTAAGGGTAAATGAGAATTCAAAATACGTGAACACCAACAATCATGCACTGTTTACATTCAGTATTTGAATCATTGGATGAGATTTACAGCTTTATCTACAAATTATCCCTAATTAAAGTAATTATGGTTAAACCATAACAAAAAGTCAACTGCTTCAACTACTAATTATATTTTAGTGCCCAAGCCTCAGCCGCCATAAACTGACAATTTTGGGACTGTTTAGAATTGACAATTGTCGCTTTTCAATAATTTCCATAAAGGTTGGCAACTTTATAATGTGTGACTATTTTTAATGTCTTGTTAACAATATTGCTAATCAGTAAGACATTTCCATGTATTTTTCCAGCATATATAAGCTAACTTTGAAAACAATACAAACCTTAAAATCGGATCATTGTTGGAATAGAGTGCATCTCATGACTTATAAACATTCATAGCAAGAAGCTATCAATCATAAATACCTGAATATATGCTGGTATTTGCTTCTCAAATACAATTGTTCGTTCATGCATCCTTAACCCAAATGACCTGAATGCTTTCAGAATTTGAATGTGAAAAGTGACCAACCATATACCAGGGTTCTAGATGGCCCGAAGTTGCTGTGTTTATTAATCATCATTTTTTTCGTATTTTTCCATAAGTCCACAATCGTATTCTGAATTTGTAAATTTGGCTTAGTCCAATTTCTCCATATCAAATATTTTCAGTCTGTTTTTCTGCATTTTCCCCATATTTTCTCCGTATTTTTTCAATGTCAACCAATTCTCAACAGAGCTGTGTTGTTTCAGTGTCTGCAGGTCATGGCGTCGTGTGGTAAGGGACAATACACTGTGGAGACATGTAGACCTCCTCCCCTACCGCCTTAACCTACAAAAGATGTGGAAGGTGATCCGCGCTCACTTCTCAGAGTGTCTTCTCACAATGAAAGTACGCGGTTTTGTGGATTCAGGTACTTAACATAATCTGTTAAAAAAATATAACCTACATTAGCATGCGCTGTCTTGAAATTATAGACCCACTGTACGGTTTATGTTTGTGAAATATACATTTTCATTTTTGCTTACTAAAATCAAAACCGGCCAACCATCATCGTCATATAATCTGATTAGTCCCCTACCAGTGAAATCAAGGGGACTATAGGATTCCTCTCCGTCCGTCTGTGGACACCAATGTTTGTCAGCACTCTAGGGGCTGCATTCCTGGAGGGTTTTTGATCAAACTTCACAAAATTACAAAGGACCATAATATCTCGGACAAGTTTGAGTTTCAGGGTTGTTAGGTCAAGGTGAAGGTCACCGTTACTATTTTTAGAAAGTCCTTGTCAGTGCTCTAGCGGCTTCATTCCTTGAAGGGTTTTTGATCAAACTTCACACAATTACAAAGGACCATAATATCTCGGACAAGTTTGAGTTTCAGGGTTGTTAGGTCAAGGTGAAGGTCACCGTTACTATTTTTAGAAAATCCTTGTCAGTGCTCTAGCGGCTTCATTCCTTGAAGGGTTTTTGATCAAACTTCACACAATTACAAAGGACCATAATATCTTGGAGAAGTTTGAGTTTCAGGGTTGTTTGGTCAAGGTCACTGTTACTATTTTTAGAAAATCCTTGTCAGTGTTCTAGCAGCTTCATTCCTGGAGGGTTTTTGATCAAACTTCACAAAATTACAAAGGACCATAATATCTTGGAGAAGTTTGAGTTTCAGGGTTGTTTGGTCAAGGTCACTGTTACTATTTTTAGAAAATCCTTGTCAGTGCTCTAGCAGCTTCATTCCTTGAAGGGATTTTGATCAAACCTCACACAATTACAAAAGACCATAATATATCAGACACGTTTGAGTTTCAGGGTTGTTAGGTCAAGGTGAAGGTCACCCTTAATATTTTTAGAAAATCCTTGTCAGCACTCTAGCGGCTTCATTCCTTGAAGGGTTTTTGTTCAAACTTCAAACAATTACAAAGGACCATAATATCTTGGAGAAGTTTGAGTTTCAGGGTTGTTTGGTCAAGGTCACTGTTACTATTTTTAGAAAATTGTTGTCAGTGCTCTAGCGGCTTCACTCCTTCAGGGATTTTGATCAAACTTCACACAATTACAAAAGACCATAATATCTCGGACACGTTTGAGTTTCAGGGTTGTAGAGTTGAGGTGGGCCACCGTTGCTATTAATACAAAATCCTGGACTAGTTGAAACCAGTTATGGACTGATGATCGATATAACAATTGAACATCGATCGATTCCGATTTTGGTAACTAATTCCATAATCGATATAATCGGTTCATTACTGAACTTAAAGTGTCAAATGTGTGTGTTATATGCAGTATACATGAAAATTCATTTATTCTGATTTATTTTTTACAATATGAGTGATGGTAATGTAGAATAGAAAAATTACATTAAATTCAGGTACAAGCTGATTGTATAATTTTCATTTTCCCAAATTAACACCAAAGGGCACCATTTTTATAAATCATTACAGTGTATAGCTAGCAGGGGCCGGTAGGGGACATGTATTGCTTTAGAAATACTCAGTATGCTTGTTAATATTATAATATATGACTATGTAAGAAGGGTAGAGAAACAAGTATAGTTTAGCTTTATACTTTATTTTATTTTATATGTCACAGATTTCTAGATTATGATTTTACAACACAATGGAGATAATTGATATAAAGCCAAGACAATGATATTTTAGGCTACATATGTATGTTATAATATTGTATGCAGGGCTTTTTTCTTATTGATTTGGGAATGAGGCCTGTGGCTTACAAATAAACAATTGGGAAAAATATGTAATAATTTGAGGTTCTTATATACCGCTTTATCACAAACTAGTTTGTAGGTCGTCTCAAAGCGGTTCACAAATTATTATCCGTGGTTATAGGGCCTTTGCAACCAGCCAATATCTTTTTCAACTCCTTGGGAAGCATACAGCAGGTGCTGCCATTTTGACACTCGCAGCTAGCATTCAACAATTCGAGCACTTACCAACCACGTACTCATTTACAGCTGAGTAGACTGGAACAAGCAGAGTAAAGTATCTTGTTCAAAGATTCAACACAGCGCTGTGACGTGATTCGAACCCGCAACCCTTCGGTCACGAGCCCGGCATCCTACCACTAGACTACCGTACCTCATATTGCATAACATACCTGATTTGCTGTGTTTGCGATCCTGTTTAGAGTTCTGTCAGTAGACATTATGCTTGATACATAATAGCATCATGTAATGCTTAATAAAAAAAAAATTCAATGAATGTTCAATAAATATTAAAATTCATAACTATATCTATATAGAGATTGAATATTACCCTTGCTTGTTTGTTTGAGAGTTGTACGTCCGCTACACTAACGAGAAGTTCAGTTATTTAGCAGATGAATAGGGATTGAATAGAAAACCTTTTTATATTTAAGGGGGACGCAAGCAAAAGAAACCGTCTTTGTCAGACGCGATGTTACGGGATCTCGGAGAGAGATGTCCAAACATTTGTGACCTTCACCTTCATATGTGTAAAACTGACAACATCTCTGCTGGCAACCTACCAGGCTCCCTCACTCGACTGGTGCTACATGGTTGCTCATGGCAACCACGCTGGCTAAAGGGAAACGAAAACAATCTGAAAAATATTGTGGACTTGGACCTGTCTTGTTGCTGCAGGGTGGACAGTTTTGACATGCATGACATTGGAAATTGGACGAGAATGAAAACATTAAAATTAAATGGACTTTACAGATTGAATGAAAAGGGAATCAAACATGTCGCAACGTCCCTACCCCTGCTAGAACGGCTTGAACTGAGTTATACACAGTGCACTGAACTTGCCGTTCATCACATATCACGTCATCTCAAAAATCTCCGTCACCTGAATATGTCGAACTGTAGTCTGCTCAACGATTCTGCCGTGGAGACTTTGTCATCCGGGCTACAAAAGCTGGAATATCTAGATCTCAAATCGAACAGCAGACTCACCATCTCTGGTCTGTCGTCACTCAAGGCTTGTAAAAGGTTGAGTGTGTTGGTGTTTGATTTCAATGATGACACGGAAAAACAACTCTTGCAAGCTGAATTGCCGAATTGTACAATTGTCAATGGCGATGTTTGAAAGAATGACCTAAGATGTAAAAAGTCAAAGGAAACAGACACAAAATATGTATAAAGGTGTATGTATTTATAAGTAGATCTTGTCTAGATCATGAACATTCAGAACCAGTTTCAGTATTCTGTCTGGAATGAAGATAATTTTCATTGAATTCATTTACCCCTGAAGACACATTTGAACTGTTCCAATTCAAAGGTTGGAATAGTTCATTATGATATTTCAGGGGTGAATGATGTTCAGTAGCCTTTTGTGGATGGATTCCTAAGGAAATTCAGAGTCCAGCACAAAAAGTAACTCAAAGCAAAGATGGCTGGACAACATCTACATGAAGGTGATCGCCAATTTTCTTTGCAATGTTAACAATGTGTCAACACACAAGGTGTGCCCTCATAGTTCACAGATCACTTCCATGTGGATGTTGTCAGGTTATCTTCACTTTGAATAGATATACCATGTCTATTCTAGATTATAGATTACACAGATTCAATGTACATGGAAATGTATGGTAAATAAAAATGGTTGGAGTGGGGCTGTTACATGTCATGTTTCATAAAACTATAAGCAGGTTCAGTTAACTTAATATAGAATTATTATACCTCTACTTATTTTACACTATACAAAAGTAACCACATAAACAAGCTATTTCCCCTCTTACTGCATGCCAGGGAAATCGTTCGTCTGGAGGGGTGCGATAGTTTTGAAACTATTTCCCTGGGAAAATGCGGGAAATTGAGTGACGTCGTGGGCGGGGCCTGACCGAATATTGACCAATCAGCACAATCAGAAAATTTTAGTTTTGTTAATAAAGTGTCCCAACTGTTGAAAATTTGTTGTCTAATAATATTTAGAATATTGTAAGGGAGTGTTTGTATCGGTATAATAAAACAGTTGAAGTATGTGTATTTCGGGATATATAGCAAGTTTATGATCCCCCTCGTCCAGGACTATTTCCCTCGGCTTTGCCTCGGGAAATAGTCCTGGCCTCGCGGGATCATAAACTTGCTATATCCCTCATACTCATACTTTAACTGTTAACTATTTTTATGTAGGTTATCTTTGTGTTTGAGTGGAATAACACAAATTTCTTTAGTATTGAGATGACGGTTTATATATTGTGTAGGATCTTTTACATGTATGTGGTTGCTAGTTTTGAGATGACGGTTTATATATTGTGTAGGATCTTTTACATGTATGTGGTTGTTAGTTTCGGATGTGATGGAATAATCCTTTTTACCATATTATAAAACTTGTAAATGATACAACTGTGGGTTTTTTTAAGCCTGGCACTTGAAAAATATATCACTCTATTTGATAATTATTTCTCCCACCCTGAGGTGTGTCTCCTGTTTTAGGCGGGAAAGATCAGCTTGTCATCTTGAGATAGCCTCGTGCCGATTAGCACATGTTCAAATGTGACGTCATTAAAATGTGTCACCGGTAATTGTGACGTCATCAAAAGTGAATGACGTTATTCATACCCCACATGTGTATTTCTTTACAAACATGGCAGACTACTGTCTGTGGAGTTGTGACTGAAATAATAGGATGGGAGAAAAATAATCATCCCCTTCCTGTACTTTGAGGTTGTAACAGAGAAATCTCCAACCCTTGGGGTAGGAAATATCTCTGTCACAACCTCAAGGTAGAGGAAGATTCTATTAATCACTCTAAACTTTATATTCCGTCTTTGCGTATTGCAGAGTTATCTTCTCTCGTGAGCAGGTATTGATTGTTACGTTATTGGTTTGTGTGAGAAAATTACGTCGTTTTCTCAAAAACTGATGACGTTACTCTCACAAACAGATGACGTAACAATCAATACCTCCTCACAAGAGCAGATAACTCTGCAATACGAAAAGACGGAATATTGATTCCTAAATAATTAGAAAAAAGAATGGAATTTGTACTACTGTGATGGCTTAGGTATACAGAGATTTAATACTGTGTGAAATATATTTATAAACTTTATTTATTTCAACTTATATAAATCACTTCTGTTGGCCCGGATGTTAGCGTATGGGGGTCTTAATGTGGGAGGAAACCGGAATACCTGGAGAAAACCCAGGCGGTCGGGCAGGTGACCCCTTACCTTTTCACGTCCGATCGGGGAATCAAACCCTGGTTGACTTGGTGAAAGGCAAGTGCGCTATACACTGCACCTACTGACCACCTACTGACCACCTTGTGTGAAATCAAGTATGAGCTTCTGAAAAACAATCACTCTCTCCGAGAATTTCGGTATATATCAACAGGTGATAAAAAATGAAGTGATGTCTTGAAGGTTTTGTTTTTATTACTTTGCAGAGCTTATGTTTGTTGTTATTTACAATATACACAATTTAAGATTATTGGTAATATTATAGAATGATTGTCTTAATTACCCTAAATTTGATAATTACACATTGTTACATATTTCAAATGCAGATTTTTTTTTACAATCGCATGATGTACATAAAATGTGAAAAAAGATTAATTATTGATAAAAGATTTATATTTATATGGAAATGATGAATCAGGCTTCAATTTCTCATGAAGCAGAGTTGTTTCCCTTCTCCCTATACTTTACAGTCCTTGTTTTCTTCATTAGAAAGAGGTAGTACAATGTACCTCAACCGGTTATGACCATTTTTCACAATTTCATAAATTACTTGTGCAATTATGACCCTCATGTGGGTGGGGCATATAGTGTTACCCATGTCCGTCCCATCCCGTCCTTTCCTGTTTAATCCTCTCGCAGCCCAATCCGGTCCTGACCCATCCTGTCACAGGCCAGTCCCATCACTATTCAATGTCATGACCCTAACGACCAACTTCAGTTTGAACAGAATTTTGGCAGCGTTTATACAAGATTAAATGTGAGAATACCTTGGAAGAGTTTGTATTTCAGGGCCCAAAGTTCAAAGCCAAGGATACTATTGCTATTCATTGGCCAACGACAGAAAGCAGTTCACAAAGTTTAATCCGTGGTTATAGGGCCTTAGATCACAGCTAGCTGCATTCAACAATTTGAGCACTGCCCTACCACATACTCATTTACAGCTGAGTAGACTGGAACAGGCTGAGTAAAGTATCTTGTTCAAAGATATGTTATGTGCGGGCGGTCACCCATCCAACTTCTGGGTCCCTGGGTTATACCACATCACTGGAAAGCTAGCTTGCCAGTAAGGCAATATTTCCCCCCTCATATACAGATGTACCTTAGCTGTTACAGATACAACACAGTGCTATGACGTGACTCGAACCCGCAACCCTTCAGTCACAAGCCCTGCTCCCTACCATTAGACTACCGTGCCTCCTATCAAACTCTAATTAAGAGTCATGAAGTTGAAGCCTGATTTATCCATGCATAGTGTGTGCTTACTTGCTATTTTAATGGAATGAAATGTTATGCATGTACATGTCAGCTTCTTGACCGTCATCAGAGGGATTTGTCCCTCAAGCCAAACTCCCATAGAGAGATAAAAGCACAAAAATCATTTTCCTGCATTACTTTTGTTCCATGGTCCAGTTACATCTTGTTTTATTAGTTTTTGTTTTGTTTTAATGATAATTTGCCTTCAGAGGAATTGAATAGTATATATTTTCATTTAGAGCTAATAGACGGACAATCCCTCTCAAAGAGGGAACTTTGACATTTACTTAATTGCTCAGTGTATAAAACCAATGGGTTGAATAAACAAACATTTATTTTGTATATATATATATATATAATGAAATATATATTTAGTGTAGAAATATATGTATATATAGAAAACATGTAGGTAGTGTTGCACATACATTATTTATCTTTAATGTAATGAATCTATGATTTTAACTCTTTACGCAATAATGTTGTATACTGGATAAGATTTTTGGTACGATGTACACGTACCTTCCTCATTGTCTGGTAAGATTTTTAGGATTTTAGGTATAACATTCACTGTTGTCTGTTTATTGGATTTGGGTACTACCTACACTTATAGTGAAGTTTACAAAATATGTTCTTGATTACCTTTTCATTTTCTGTAATTTTTCTTCGTATTTCAAGTAATAATTATGTTCTAGACAACATTTTCGGTACTCCCTTCCCTGTTGTCTAGTATACTGGACAAGGTTTTGGGTACTCCCTTCCCTGTTGTCTAGTATACTGGACAAGGTTTTGGGTACTCTCTTCCCTGTTGTCTAGTATACTGTACAAGGTTTTGGGTACTCCCTTCCCTGTTGTCTAGTATACAGGGCAATGTTTCGGGTACTCCCTTCCCTGTTGTCTAGTATACTGGACAAGGTTTTGGGTACTCCCTTCCCTATTGTCTAGTATACTGGACAAGGTTTTGGGTACTCTCTTCCCTGTTGGCTAGTATACTGGACAAGGTTTTGGGTTCTCTCTTCCCTGTTGTCTAGTGTACTGGACAAGGTTTTGGGTACTCCCTTCCCTGTTGTCCAGTATACTGGACAAGGTTTTGGGTTTTCCCTTCCCTGTTGTCTAGTATACAGGGCAAGGTTTTAGGTACTCCCTTCCCTGTTGTCTAGTATACTGGACAAGGTTTTGGATACTCTCTTCCCTGTTGGCTAGTATACTGGACAAGGTTTTGGGTACTCCCTTCCCTGTTGTCTAGTATACAGGGCAATGTTTTGGGTACTCCCTTCCCTGTTGTCCAGTATACTGGACAAGGTTTTAGGTACTCTCTTTCCTGTTGTCTAGTATACTTGACAAGGTTTTGGGTTTTCCCTTCCCTGTTGTCTAGTATACAGGTTTTAGGTACTCCCTTACCTGTTTTCTAGTATTCAAGGCTTAAGTTCTTTTCGCCATCATTGATCAATATAAGAAAATAACACAACATGATTTTAGCTCATCTGGTATTGGGCCTGTAGCATGCTGGGATGCAGAGGTACCAAGTTTGTTTAAATGAATGACCTTGACCCACTTCCAAGGTCACAGGGGTCAAATGTCGTAAAATCTTCAAACAACTTCTTCTCAATAACCAAAAGGTCAAGGGTACTGAAATTGGGCCTGTAGCATGCTGGGATGACCAACTTTCAACCTAATGTCCTTGTTTTACATTCGAGGTCACAGGCGTCATATGTTTAAATCTTTTAGAAGGTTCTTATGAATCAAACACTGGTATTCTGCCTGTAGCTTAAATTTAGTCCACTATTAAGATTACAAGTGTGAGATTAATACCAGGTGAGCGATGCAGGCCCATTGTGCCTCTTGTTTTACTTCAAATTATTTCGTTGGATAAACGAGAGTACATCTGTACTTTATAACCTTGAGACGAATTGTAATGGCATGGCATAATTGTTTGTATTTATAAAGTTTAAATTTTTGCAATGAAATTAAAGGGTTTCCCCTTGAAATATTGATGTTGCCTTGCTGTTGGCTAACAGTCACTCCTTTTATCTATTTGTGCCATATAAAATATAATGAAACATTTTTATCAAACTAAGTTAACCCTTTCACCACTGTAGACCATAATGGACTCATCCAGATCAATGCATGGTAGAGTCTACTAAAGTTAACTAGGGGTGAAAGGGTTAATAAAACTTCCAACAAGTCCGCAACCTATACATAGAGAACAAAAGGAAGGAAATCACACCTGTGACATGAGTTACTGGAAAGATTTTGTTTGTAGCAGTAAAGGAGGTGCACATACGTTCTTACAGTAATTTAAGAAAGGA